TACCAGAAGATTAATGCACCCTGGTAGAACAGTGCTTTAACGCTACCAGATCAGCATCATCAGCTTGACAATACAGGTCCCCGATAATGACTTCCTAATGTATGCTTATGAAGACCCCTATAAAAAAAAACAAAAGGCTTTATACCTCAGACATCTTCAATTGGTTTCTTCCTAACTACAGGACATTACTGCCAAGTTGCATTGCTAATAAATAAGATTTTTTTGAATGCCTCATCACTCTTATGCATATTACTGCTTTGTATCAATAACAACAGCGCTTTTCAGTTTAAAATCTTTGTGTCATGCTAATTGACCAGATTTGTTTGAAAAAATTATTTCAAGTTAACGTATTACAAACCCTTGCAAAAATAATGAAAAGATTGCATTGTAAAAGAGCACCAAAGATCGTTGAGAACTTCTCAACAAGAAAAGCATGCTGTCCTGTGGTGCAGCATGCTGCTGTACATGACAGAGGTACCAGTTCACAGAAATTCTTAATATAAAATTTTAGATAACTTTTTGCATCGGAGAGGGAAAGGTTGTGAATAATTAATATGGGTTTTGGTTGCAGTACTGTAGATTAAAACCTAGAAACAAAAGGGAAAGCATAGTGGCAGCTGATAAATATTTTGTGAGCAGTTTCCTCTTTTTATTTCCTTTGCAGTTTGAAAGCTGTGCTGTGAGCACTTTGCTGTTTTGTTTGAAGATGGGTATAATTACACAGCAAGGAGGGTTCATCATGTTAGTCCAAGAACATTGGACAAGACAATTAACAGATGTTTTGTATCTGGTGGCATTTTACCTGATATGGTGTCTTCCTTATCAGGGTCTTGTTTTGAATATGCAGCGTCCTGAATCAGTGGTTTCTGTCTTCCTTCTTACAGCATCAATAATAAATTTAAAGTGTGAATCCACACATAAATTATTCATTTTTAAAGCAAGTAACAAGCTCTTCAGACATCAACATGATGTTGTTTTTAACCGGGAGTTTGCAGCCTGTCTGTGACAGGTGTCTCATTGAAAGTTTATTGAAAGGGTAATAAAAAAGAACAAACATGTCTTCACTCCTAAACTCTACCGCCCTTTTCTTAATTTATGACCAAATTCATGTACAGCATACTCCTGGTATTTCTTGTGTGTGGCCAGAAGGTATTACCCAAAATAATCTCTCTTAAATGTAAAAGGTTGGTGCTTTTAATACTTAATAATTAATCAAGCACAGATAGATACTTTAGGACCAAGAATGGAGAGCACTAGAGTGGAGTGATTGGACAACTGAAAAGATTGACACAATTTTTCTATAGAATTCATCTTTAGAAGACACAATTTTACATGGCATGCTGTGGCGGAAAAGAAAGGCAATTTGTTCTCAATACTGGAGTTCAGCGTACCATTCAAAAATCCCTGTCTCTCTGACTCGTTAATAGGTTTTAGACAGCTATAATAAGATTTCAGTGCTGCAGAGAGCAGACAGGGTCAAAGGTTACGACCTTGGTTCTGAATTGGATTAGCCCTCCGTTCGATTTAATAGCCTTCTTTTGATTCCCTGAAAAAAACATCTGCAGGATGGGAGATGAAGAAACAGACTACCGTGGGCAGAACATTTGCTTTTAAACACTGTTGTCTGAAGGCTAATATCTTTCAGTGCATTAACTAATAATTAGGAAAATGAGGACAGCTCATTGACTGTCATCAGTTTTAAGTTGTATAATGGGTTTCTGTCAGTCCTTTATCACCAAGATGCTTGTTCTAGAGAAGTTTGTTGCCACCCAAAGCCATTCTTTGAAGCAGAAACAAAATTTATGCTTTGGAAAAGCAATCATATTTTTTTTTCAAAAACATTTGTGTAACATTCTAGAGATGAAACGTTTATTGAGGAGTTTTAAAGAAGGAATTCAGACACCCTGACAGAGCCATTTGCATCAGGTTCAATGTTCACTGATTGAGTGCCCCAGTGCCTTCTCTGTCTGCTCCCCAATGTAATTTATTTAGAATTCAAAGTGTTTTTCTTGATGATAAGTGTTCTAATGCTGGAGAGTTACTACACACTATTACCTTTCAACCAGTTTTGAATGCACTTGATTTTTACTCCCTTATGGAACAAACAGACACGTTGGGTGGTAGGAACCAGATCTCACAATACTGTACTGGTCCATCTGTGATGTGACTTCTGATGACTAACCTGCACATTGTGGCCTATTAATTAAGCCTGACAGGTATCTCCTTGTAGTTGAGGAACTGGCAGGTGTTAATGCTTCCTCCAAAAATACACTGCTTCAGACGGCTTCAGAGGAGGAATTAAAAGCAACTACCAACAAGGGGATTGGGGGATGAGTTAAAAAGGCCTTGTCACAGCCTTGAATTATTTAAGCAAGCTTTGCATGTGTTTGGATGCTAGAAGCACCCACACTTCCTGGAGTTTGTTTCACTTTGTCACAAAGCCCATGTGCTCCTAATAAAACTGAAAGCCAACTGAGAATCCTTAGTGCCGGGATAAAACCTTTCAAGTTTTAGCAACCCTTTCAAGGCGACACACAGAAAAATATTAAACCTTAATAATTTCTATGGTAAAGAAATCATAATATAAGCTAATAGTGAATGTCAGCAAAACTAATGCAAACAAAACAAAACACTTGACAATTTTGTGAGACCAATTGAAATAAAAAGCACTTGAAAGTTTTTCAAACTGATCAGAAGAACACCTTGTCTGAAAGAAAATGTTGAGTTTGGTCCCTCCTTACCATATCTTTGGTTTTGTTATCTGCCAGCATATAAAACATTTCAAAACACACAAATTTTCGTGTGCACACAAGTCTCTGTAGCACTTTTTCTTGAAACCCCTGCCAATGTGACACATTCATTTCAGCAAACGTGACAGCTTCCTCCATATATCTTTACAATTCATCTGGAAAAAACTGACATACAAAATAATGTAAACACTTGATTATGTGTTTATTTTTTCAGGACAAATTGTTCATCAAAACACCACGTTAATAAATGTATCAAACATTTAATATAGGATATAAATTGAATTAAATATAATGGTCAGTTCAATGTACTTGCAAAAGCTCATACACCTCTATGAGATGAGTTGCTTCTGACTCATTGCTGGGCAGAACCTCTTTTTATCATGTCTGTATCTGCAAATAACTGTGTCACCTGCTTGGTAAGTTCAAATGAGGTGTGCCTGGACACAAACAGCAATCAGTGACTAGTCTTTACCTGAGCCCATCCCAGACTGCAGTTGTTTGGCTGTTTGTGTCAAGGTGCATGCTGGAGATTGGTAATTCTGGAAGGAGACCTCCCATCTTTCAGCAGGTCCTGTGTTATTAGAACAAAGCCCAGACTGAAATGCTAATCATCATCCTTGTCAGATTTCAAAGTAGCTAAGGAAATTACCTTGTTCAGCTTTCCTAATGTCAGAGACTGAAATTTTCTTTCACTTAGATACTAAGATTTTCCCTGTCCTGTGTTGTACTTAGAGTTATCCATGAATTTGTTGAAAACAATGTTGGTCTGAATTGTAATTCAGTACGTAACACAGCAGCATTCACTACAGTTCATGGATGATTTATATACTTTATGATGTTCTGAAATAAATGTTGGTCAGTTGTCAGAAACCAGAAAGTGCACCATGTTTTAGGACAAATATTACAGAGAAAATTGCAGTAAAAACATTGTTATTCAACAGGTCTACATCATGCATACATTGGACGTTTTGCCTTTGATACACTAAGTGTATCTAAATGCAAGGCTCAGCAAGGGAAGCAAAATCTTGCTCCCCTAGGTTATCCTATATATAGCATTACTGTGAAATGCAGCAACAATACGTGGGGATTTCCTACAAAAGTAATTGGAATTGGGAATATCCAATTAAAATATCCAACCATCCATTTTCAAACTGTTCCTTACAGTTCAAGGTGGTGGGGGAGCCAGGGTCTATCCCTGCAAGCAATGGGAACAAGGCAGGGTACAGTACACCCTGGACAGGATGACAGTCCATTGTAGGGCACACACACATTCACGCCATTTTTTCCAAAAGCCAATTTTGGAAAACCAGCATGTCTTTGGGCTGTGGGAGGAAACCGGAACATCTGGAGGGAACCCACGCGAACACAGGGAGAACATTTAAACTCCACACAGATATCACACAGAACCCAGGGCCCTAGTGCTGCACTAACCACTGCCCCACCATGTCACCCCTCAATTATAATATTAAAACAGTATATCAAGCTTATCTGAGAAGCCAGTTTGATTGATTGAATCAAATTTAGCCACAAAACTGGGTGGAGTGATCATGCAGGTCTTGGGTTAAAAAGTGTGCAACCCCCTTTTCACCTTTAGCAGCACACAAGAGCCTGCTGTCTCTACGCAGGAACCTCCCAGGAACACATCAGATGGTTTTTATCATTGTACCCTATGGGGTTTATCAACAACAAAGTCATTTTAAAGCAATTGGCAAAGTGTTGTAGCATTTGTCTGAAAGGAAACTTTGTAGGACTGATGTATTGCACCATCGATAGTTCCTTTTAATTTCCTGCAATTTCATCTTCTACAATGTCCAGTGTCTTCTTAATGCTTTGAAATAATAAAATTCGAAAGCAGTGCACAAAAGAAAAATCTAAACAAAAGAGTGATTTCAACAAGGGAAGAATAGAGAAGTCTTCTTTTAGCAGCATTTCACCTGAGAGCTATTGTTTCTCATTCAGTTACAGCTGAGTGTCTGAGACCAATACAACAGTTTTACCCTTATACAATAGATCATCTAGGTACAGGTCTGTAGGACAGGTACAGAGAATATAAAGCTCTCTGCTGTACAGAGCAATTCATTTTAGCCACACACTGGAAATGCCATGTCTCTTCAGCTAGCAGCGCTAGGGCTCCAATGAGCAGGCAGTGTGCTGTTGGTGGGTGGCAGCACTGAGGTATGATGGATAGCAGAGGCCCTGGGCTGTGAGCCAGAGAGAGTGTGTTTATATTGGAATGTGACTGTGTGCACATCCTGGGTGATGGGCTTACTGAGCACTCATGAGCACAGCGCAAATCCTCAGACTGGAGACACCGTCTGCCCGCGCTGCTCCAAACACAACGTAGCCTCCACAGAGCCAGCAGCTTGGAGAAAGTCGTCCTCTATAAACGCCTGAACAGACACCATGACCGAAGGTAGGACATCCGAGCTGTAAACACTTTTTTTTTGGAGGGGGGGAGGTGAGATTTCACAGACTGATTGCAGGCCCCTATGGCAGTTCTTTGTTGTCCTGCTGATGCTGGCAGGTAGAGATCAGTTCATTTGTATACATTTACACAGTTAGAGTCAGTAATGGTCCTTCTCAGGAGTCCAGTTTTGTTTTAGTTTAAAAATACAAGTAGATTTTAAGATGCTCAGTTGGTCAGAGGAGCCACGCGCCTAGGGTTTATTTTTAGGGTTTCACAGCTGTATGAAATGGCCCCATGTGCTGACCAATTAGGCTTGTGTTCATTTTATGGATTGTGGAATGCGCTCTTGTGCCGTTGCTGAGAAGTTCAAGTAACTTCATAATTTGCATTATGAATGTATCTTCAAAGACTAATGAACCATAATATGATCTACTGTACGTCAAGTGACACTTTTTTTTTAAAAAAAAGAAGAAACATCCTTCTATCTTTGCTGGACAAATGAGTTAGGAATGTTTTAGTGGAATATTAATTCAGCAGGTTGACCTTTGCTTTTGACACACTTGAGAGGAAAAGTACTTTGCTTGGTTTTATTTATACAGTACCTGTTAAGGGTTTCTAAAGATCCCTGGACATCCCTCCAGCAGACACAATAGCTGTTTTGATTTATACAGTATGTGTTTAGTTATGAGCAAATGTTTTTTAGGGAATCTGATATCTGTTGTGGACACAACTCTGCTTCAGTTTAGACATCTTTTCCCATTATGTTACATAGAAATCATGTGGCACTCTTGCTAGGCTTAACTCACAAAGTAGAGAGACACTGAGGAAGAGAGGTAAACAAGTGAATTGTACAGACACGTTGAATTTCACATCACAACAGCCTCTTCACATGCTAGGATGCATCTCTGGGTGTGTACATAGAAACTGCGGGGGCAGAATCCTCTTTCAGAAACTCATAATCTTGGACATGTGGTTACGTTCCCCCTTGATACTGCTAGAATGCTCTATCCCAACCTAGTAGGTGGCACTGAATTTGAGGGAATCTGATGCTTTAAATGTGAGTCATTACAAAGGTTGTTTTCAGTATGGAAACTACCAGGAATTTAAAGAGTGATAACAAACTATTTAGCGCTCAAGTGATCCAAAACAGTTAAATAGAAATTAAGAGCCATCCTCTTTCTGAATTTAAAACTATTCTTCATTTTCGCAATATTAAGCCGATCTGGAACAGCCAGTGGCAAAGTTTTTTTTGTGTCTTCTCTCACAGTTAGGCTCCCCTTAACGTCTTAACAGTAAATGAGGAAGTGTACACAGCCAGGTCTGAACTCTTCACCTTTCAGCCACTCATCTGTTAATACGTCACAAGTAACCCCACCCCCTACTAGACAATCAGCTCTGATTGGGGGGGTGGCATGTCCCTCACCCACAGCATCAATAGCCAATAAGTGCCTAGGAGATGGCAGAGGTCTCTGTGACAATAAGGGCCGAGAGAGCCCCAGTCCACTATTCTACCCTACCGTCAGCGGCTCCCAGCCAGTAGTGCACTGCCACATGGGAAATTGTGGTCACAGTTAGTAGGTGACATGACTCAAGCATAGAGCTTAACCTTTACGTGATAGAATAAAACCTTTCTCCACCCTGTGAACTGTCCCCTTCATTATAAACCTGACACCTCTGTCTCAAAGTAGAACTTGTTGCAGATCTTGGTTGCAGAGTTGCTTTTAGGCATTTCAAACATATGTAGACAGGGCAGTTTTAAGTCTTTTAATCAAGGCAGAGGCATGTTTGGCAGGGGTGCCAGTTGTACCAAATGTCACTGTTGAAATATCCAAGTATAGAATATAATTAATGGACACGTGTGTTTCGCATCCATGTGAAGATGGTTCTAACATGGGAAAGCCAGTGTTCCGTGTTGTAAGGAGGAGTGAGTCCCTTTCAGGTTTGATTTCGGCACCAAGTTATAGATGCTGCCTGAAGCCCGTTAACTAGTTGCGATTCGGGTTTGAAGATGTGGCGACACCACATACCGATGGTCAAATTCACAATGTGCATGCATTACGTGGGAACTGGAACTCAGTATTTTCACAAACGCAATCAACACCTTCAAAATCATAACAGAGTAAAGAATGGCTGAATGGGGATGATCCCAAAGAGAAACGTTTTACCAGGCTGCAGTCAGTTGACTTGGAAGGTATCTAAACCATCTCTTGCTGACTAATGCCACACATCAAGAGCATGGTTTTACTCCGAGATGACAAGTTTATCACCATCTCCCTAGTGACGGCTATTTTCTAGCTCAATGCACAGGGCAGGCCTGAGCTTTAAATATCGTAGGGTGTGCTTCTCTCCCAGCACATACCAGGAAAATCCACTTAACACTGAGGGAATAGAGTGATGCTGTACACCTCCTTAAGATTTTATGGTTTAACATACTAGTTAGACATATTTGACCTTCACCTAATCCTCACCTAAGTCGTAATAGTAGATAAAACTATCCTCAAATAATTTTACATTGTTAAGTTTGTGTTAAAATGTAAGTGCACCCCTTGATTCAGTAACTGATGGCACCTCTTTTAGCAGGAATGACTTGAATTAAACATTTCCTGTAAGAGTTGATCAGTCTCTCCCATTGCCTGGGAGGAATTCTGGATCCTGCCAAAGCATCTGTTTAAGGTTTAGGTTTAGACTTTGACTTGGTCCTTCTAAAATCCAGAATTGCTTCTTTTTGAACTATTCTGTTGTGGATTTGCTCTTTTACACAAGCAAATCTTGTCCTGTTGCATGATCCACTTTTAGTTGTTGGACTGTAAGTCTCAATCTTTGTCTGATGGTGGACTCATGGTGGTTCTTTGAGACTTCAAGGAGCACCACATGGTGAGATCTTGGGGAGAATTTTACACTGGTAATGAACTTTTCCTTTGTAGATTATTTTTCTTACCATAGAATGATGGACTTCATATTGTTTTGAAATGGTTTTGTGACTCTTTCCATAGATTTCTTCTGACTCTGGCATGATGTGTTACTACAAACCTGCGTGCTTTAGACCAGACTGACAAAGATTCAGATTTTATATACAGTTAGAATCACTTCCTAATGATCATCTAATCGTTTGCACATGTTTTGGTGCACATTAATCTATATACTCTTTCCATTGAGATGGTAGTACTTACTTTTTCACACGAAGATATTGAATGCTGGCTTATTTTTTATTCTTTTTGGTTACCTCTATGGATGCTGTTGGCAAGAAATTGATGCCATCAGATGGAACCCAGCCTTCATCAGAGATTTTTGCCCTTATCCATTATGCCCTCCTGCTGGCGGGTTGCCAATGATAGCTAATCACAGCTCAAATAAGCAATGACAAAGTAGAATTATTGTGTATTATTTGTCAAATCAGGTTAGTGTTGTCTTCTGTTAGTACTTGGTGAGGCCTAGGTGAAGTTCAAATATGTCCAAATACTGTATGTTCAAGCATTACATTACCAGGGAGCTTACTTTTCCACCACACTGTACATACAGTATTTGAAACTCAAGCCAGGCACTATTAGCATTCCGGCAACAGTAAAGTATGGAACATAATAAAATGCAAATTGAAAATTGTGAGAGATTACAGATTTATCTTACACTAACTACTTTCAAATACTGGTCCTTAAGCTCTCGAAATCCCTTGTATCAGGTACTTCAACTCAGGAACGGACCTCCACTGGGCTGATAAATCCTTTCCAAAAGCTTGATTCAAACTCAGCCTTACTGTAATATGTACTGTAGTTCAGGTGGGTAGCTGTGTCAGCATTGGTAGGCTGCAAAGGAACAGGTAACGGGTTTAGTCCATGCTGAAAAGACAGGAAACACAACGTTTTGGCTGTGGAGCCTTCTTCAGGTGTGTGAAGAAGAAGGCTCCGCACACCAGAAGAAGTCTCCACAGCCGAAAAATTGTGTTTCCTTTCTTTTCTTTTCAGCATGGAATAAACCCGTTACCTGTTCCCTTACTGTAACATATCAGCTTAGCACTAGGGGTGCGGAGGGTGAATCATTCACAATTATGGAAGCGAATAAAAGGCACTTCTGCCGAGAAGGGATTATCTACACAAAAAAGGTTCGGACAGATAATAACTTGTGTTCGAAATTTTGAGATGGAAAAAGTTTGCTCAGAGCCTTAATGTGCAGAAACATCACATTGAGAAGATGACCTAAGACAACGTGATATCTACCAGACTAGTGGCAATCTACACTACATTATCATCATATTATCTTTATTTGTCAGTTCTTCAGTCAGCACGTACTGTGTGTAGCTTTAGAGAATGAGGTAATTATTACAAGACCCTGCAAAAATGTCCTTTAATGACACATGTGACACACTCTTGGGTTCAATATTTTAAGAAGCTCAAGCTTGAGCTCTGACTAAAATAGTCACAAAAGCGTTACTCCTTCTGAAATGACATTCCTACTATATGGGTCAAAGAGAAACACATAAGTGGTCAGCTTGAAGGGTCAAAGTTTGGTTTTGACAAAGATCCTGCTGTGAGAATGATTTTGATTTGTTTTCATCTTTGGTGAAGGGGAATATTATCTTTCATCATGGCAAACCCGATAACCAACATCTGCATGGGTCCTGCCACAAAAGTACAATTCAAAACCACATGCACAGTAGGCCTCTTCAATGACAAACAGAAGAAAGAAAATGTGCTGTGATAAGGAATACAAACCACTTCAAGGACTTGAGAACAGAAAGGTGAAAAAAGTCTGTACAACAGGAACAGCTGAAGAACAGTTTCAAACAGTTTGGCTGGTCTTGGGCTTGTGAAAAGATATTATTCTTGTCAAAGATTTCCCCCCAGCGTTGCTTGTGTATGTCCTAAAAGACTTGAGACGAATGCAATCTCTTGCAGGCAAATAGAGCAGAAATAAATTCGGTTCTCACTCATTAAAGCTACTGCGTACTTTTGCCTTTTTACATCAGTTTTCCCAATAGAATTAATACTCCCCTCTCTGCTTCAAAAGATATC